CAAAAGAATAGCAAAATTTTTTTTTGTTTTTTACTTTTTGAATCGTTCTTTTTTTCTTCTCTTATATATATATATATATATATATATATATATATATATATACATATATATATATTATATACTTTTCGGCGGGAAAATCAAAGTAACGAAATAACGATGGATCGGATAACCCTAAAATTGTGGCCGACGTTAAAATACGATCCTGAAATAGATTTGAATCACTCCCCCTTTCCCCACCCCATAACCCTCCACCCTCTCTCATCGCGTATTATGTTTTACAATTTTCCATTGAAAGAGTTGAGTACTTACTTAGTACTTATTTACATACTTTGCACGTGGTAAGACGCCATGATGGTTAAAAATGAAACAAAAGAATGATAGAGTTAATGAATGAAAGAAAGAGAAAGAGAAAAAAAAGAGAGAAAGACTGAGAGAGAAAGAGAGAGGAAGAGAGAGATAAAAAGAGAAACAGAGATACAGTTAGAGAGAAAGAAAGAAAGAGATATTAAAGAGAGAGAGAGAGAGAGAGAGAGAGTGGTGGAGAGAGAGAGAGAGAGAAAGAGAGATATCCAAAAGAGAGATAGAGATACAGAGATAAAGAGAGAGGGAGAGAGAGAAAGAGGAAGAGAAGGAAAGAAAGATAATAAAGAGAGAGAAAGAGAAAGAGAGAGAGAGAGAGAGAGAGAGAGAGAGAGAGATGGTCTGTCTTATCGCCTCCCGCGAGGAACGCATCAAAATTGTATTGTGTATATTAATAACGATACGGCGAATTAGGGATAAGTATACGATTCCTTAGGTTCGGCCGACGGTAATCCTGTTATTAGCTCGGCGATTAGGGTAAGATGAACCCCAGGCAAATTGTGGGGGCGTAAACACCGCGGTGTTTGCTTAACGTAATCGCCAATCGGCATCCTCGAGTATGCCACGAGTATATATATATATATATTTTTATATATATATATACATACATATATATATACAAAAAAATATATAGACACGTACGTATGTATATATGTATTATAAATATTATATATATATATATGTAGATCTGTTTATGTATGTATATATTTATATATATATATATATATATATATATATATATATATATGTATATATATGTATGTATGTATGTATGTACGTACATTAATAAAAGGAGATTATATGCGTTTTCTCTGTTCTCTCTTCTTTAACCCTTTTATATAACCTTTCTCTCTTTCCTTTTTTACATCCTTCTTCTTCTTCTTCTTCTTCTTCTTCTTCTTCTTCTTTTTCATCTCTCTTTTCCTCTTCCTCTTCTTTTTCCAAATATTTTTCTTCTTTCCTTTTTTTCATTTCCTTTCTCTTTTCTTTTCTCTGCCTTTTTATTCCTCTTTTTCCTTTCGTCGAAACTTTTTCCTTCTATCTCTTTCTGTTTGCGTCCTTTTTTTTTTTTTTTTAATTTTTTAATTTTTTCATTATTTATATTTTTTCATTATATATATATATTTAATTTATTCATTATTTATATATATATTTTTTTTTGTTTTCATTTTTGTTTAAACTAATCATATTTTCTACTCTACAATTTTCTCTCTGTTCTTTATTATTTATTTATTTCATATATTCTCTTATTTACAATTTATTATTTTTATTATTTATTATCTTTATTATAATTATTTATTCATTAATTATATATATATATATATATATATATATATTTATTGTTATATATTATGTAATTACATATTATTATAATTTATATTATAATTATAATTATAATTACTTTAAATTATAATTATAATATTATAATTATATATTATATTATTATAATTATATTATTATATATTATATATTATATATTATATTTATATATTATATTATATTTATATTTATATATTTATATATTATATATTTATATACATATATACATATATATATTTTTTCTTACTGTTATTTAATTTAGTAACATTATATTTCTTTTATTCTTACCAATGTTCATTATCATATTTCATCATCCGTCCCTTTCCTTCACACTTTTTTTATCCCCTATACAATTCTTTTCTATTATTTTCTTTTATCTATATCAAATCATACAACACACACACACACACATACATACATACATACACATATACATACACATACATACCGTCCTGCATTTTAATTCCTATATACAATCATACTTCATATTCTTACCTCATTTTCAATCTTTATCTCTTATCTCGACGAATTCCAACGGGTGGCCCATTAAAACGTTCGAATGAATTCAAATTAAATCCAATTTCGTTTCTTATTAAGATACAAAAGAAATGGACGATAAAATTGTCATTCTGTTGAAAGAAACGATTAAGAAAAGAGAAATATAAAGACAGAAGTATGAGAATGAAAGAAAGAATGAAAGAGACAGAGACAGAGAGAGAAAGACAGAGAGAGAGAGAGATAGAGTAATAAAAAAAAAACAAAGATGACACCCCTCTCATATATATATATATATATATATATATATATATATCTCATATATATATATATATATATATATATATATATATATATATACATTTAAGAGTAAGCGAGAAAATGACGTGTGGGATGCGCTTTTATGCTTTATGTCCTATGATTTATGCTACTCTCGTATGCTCCAATGTTCCATGTATTTCCTTCTGCGCTGATAGCTCCGTTCTTTTTGATTCTCTCTCTCTCTCTCTCTCTCTGTCGTACACACACAGATACACACGACACCCATTCGCTTTTACGTCTCTATCGTCTCTTCTTTCTTTTTCCTTTTCCTCTCGTTCTTTTCCTTTTTCTACTTCTTGTTCCTTCCTCTTGGATCGTCTTTTTAGGATCCCTTCCTTTATTTCTTTTTAGGATCCTTCCCTTATACCCTTTTTTCGTCTTTTTCTTCTCTTCTTTTCTTTTTTTCTGACTCTTTTTCTTTTTCTTCATCTTTTATTTTCTTGTCTTTTTCTAATTTCTTTTTTTTTTCAATTTCGCACAAAAACGACGACGACGACGACGACGACGACGACGACGACGACGACGACGACGACGACGACGACGACGACGACGACGACGACGACGACGACGACGACGACGACGACGACGACGACGACGACGACGACGACGACGACGACGACGACGAGACGACGACGACGCCTAATGACCACGACGACGACGCCTAATGACCACGACGACGACGCCTAATGACCACGACAACGACGCCTAATGACGACGACGACGACGCCTAATGACGACGACGACGACGCCTAATGACGACGACGACGACGCCTAATGACGACGACGACGACGCCTAATGACGACGACGACGACGCCTAATGACGACGACGACGACGCCTAATGACGACGACGACGACGCCTAATGACGACAACGACGACGCCTAATGACGACGACGACGACGCCTAATGATGACGACGACGACGCCTAATGACGACGACGACGACGACGCCAGACGACGACGACGACGACGCCAGACGACGACGACGACGACGCCAGACGACGACGACGACGACGCCAGACGACGACGACGACGACGCCAGACGACGACGACGACGACGCCAGACGACGACGACGACGACGCCAGACGACGACGACGAC